GAATGCTGACGATGTCTCTAGAATAAACATGTTGATTAGCAGTTTAAGTGACCATGGTGTTGCTGAAAATTTGTAGTCAGGATTCTAAGTGAAAACCCAAAAGTTTATGACTTCCTTGTCACTGTGATTAGGATATTGAGGAGGCCTCTTTCAAGTACTTAAATATCTGTGTATACTCATCTGCTGCAAGAGAGAGTGATTTTAATGTTCACAATGAATGCAATAATGTTTGTAAAGAAGAAAGTCTGTGACAGAGTCTCCATTACTCATATCCATGTTCTTAAAAAATTTGTAAAATATGCCTGTAGTTTAAAAAAAGAAAAACCTCAAAACCCAAATAGTTATATAATGAAGTAAGTACAAGAATCCTTGCAATCTATCCTTCTCCTTGGGGGAATCCATGTACACTAAGAAAAAGAAGTATGTATGCATATGTCAACAAATGTAGGCATATCCTTCGTTATTTACTCAGAAGGGAACATTTTACAAATAGTTGTATTCTTTGTATTCAACACAGAGGTTCCTAAGTTTTCTCTCAAGGGTCTAACTTGATGCCTTTCACCCCATCTTCCCCTGCCATAACTCATCCAGTTGCCAAGACTCAGCAACAGGTAGATGGCTGTGTTCAAAAGTAGGAGATAATATTGCCATAGAAACCTACCTTGTTCTTCATTGCTTTGTAGTAATTCATAACTGTCATGTGCCATTATATATTTAATTAGTCTCCTGTTTGTGGACATTTGAGCGGGACAATGATTTCAGGACCACATTTACAATTTTTTTTAAATGAGTGAGCCCGGGGGCCAGCCTCCCTGGTGATGGAGGGGGTTAAAGCGCAGTACTACCAAGCTATCTGCAGCCACTGCAGCATGAGTTTGATCCCCAGCCAGGGAGCTGACCCACGTGATGCAGCAGACCTCCTCTGTCTCCCTGCTGCTCCTCTCAGTCGTGTATTTCAGTTGATCTGCCTGTTTTGCTCCCCACTCTGTCTCTGGTGAATCATGTCAACTTCCCTCCCACTCCCCACATATACCTCTGGCCTGTACCCCAGTTCTTATATGTATAAAAAAAAAAACCTTAAAAAATAAAATAAATAAATGAGTGAGCCCTGAAGATCAGTCACAGAAGTGAAGAACAAATTTTCTGATTAATGCTAATGAAAATGGCAGAGTAGGTATCTATGAAGACAAATTATTATTATTTTTTAAAGATTTATTTACTTGTGCATACAGAACTGGGGTACAGGCCAGAGGCTCAGGGGCAGTGAGAGGATTCACCAGAGACAGAGTGGGGAATAGAACAGGCAGATCTACGAAGTACACTGCTGAGGGGAGCAGCGGGCGGGTCAGGAGAGGTCTGCCATGCCATGTAGTCACCTCTGGGGCAGGCGGGGATTGAACTCATGAGGAAGCGGCTTTAGATTCTCAGTGCTGTGCTTTAACCCACTGCGCCACCAGGGAGGGCCACAAATTATTTTTATAGCTTGGCGTACTGCTTAACTCCTACCTCCCCCCAAACTGCAGGACTGCTTGAAGGTTCCTGCCATGCATTTCCCATTCCTGACAAAAGTCCTAGCCCAGGGTGTTCCCTCCTCTGTTTCCACAGCACTTTGTGTGTCCCACCACTAAGCAGCAGCCTGGTCTTTTGTCATCATGCTTTGTACATGTGCTTTCTCTTTGGATAAGGAGTGCATCTTGCCAACTCAAAGTGTCCTCTGCTGCTAGGTAGTCCAGATACTCCAGGTAGCCTTCCTAGGGTTCTTGATAAAAGTCAGTGTCCTAATTAAAGTTCTTTTGGCTACTTCTTTGAACTTTCCACTTCAGTTTTTCTTCAAATGGAAGTGGTATCAGTGTCTCCCTACATAGAACTTTATATAGTACACTTAGGTTTCAAGTCTTAATAAGAGTTGTGAGGCTGTTCGTTCAGCAGAGGACCCAGGGGAACAATGTTGAGACTGCCAGCTCTTCCCTCAAGTGCTTATTCCCCATACTTGCCGTCATAACTCACCTAGTTGCCTAGATTTAATGACATGCAGTGATGCTAATTATAATTTGCCAGTTGGTGGCTGTGTATTCAAAAGTAGAAGGTAATATTATTCTTATTTTTACTGCCTCAGGTAGTCTTTTACATTTTGGCTTTTTTTTTTTTTTTAATTTTTTAAGCAAAACTGAACACCCCTCTTCAGTCTGATAATTGAGGCTGTTGTTATAAAATAGCTATTATGGAGGCAGAAGTGAAGGCTGTTAAAAGGAATTATTTGATAGCTATCTTTATCCATTTTTTAAATTTTCTTCTTTGCCCTCGAAGTAAGGCTGTCACACCTTGAATAGTGCATTTTAGAAAAATTTCAAAACTGCCCTTCAGTGGTCCAGTCCTCTATTTCTTTTCCTTGATCCTCATTTAGACTATAAACCAGTGTATTTGGCAAGGATCTCATTCAAGCTTAGCAAATATTTGGAAGGCTCACAAATATGTTTGCACATAAAAAGTGCCTTGGGTTTTCATACAGTCAATTTTTAACTCAAAAACTTCCCATAAATAGACGTTCAGCATATTTTCTTACTTTAGGAAATATACATTTATTTCTTCTTTTTTTTTTTTTTAAGATTTATTTATTTGTACATACAAAACTGGGGTACAGGCCAGAGGCTCAGGGGCGGTGAGAGACTTCACCAGAGACAGAGTGGGGAGCAGAACAGGCAGATCTA